TCATCAATATTTCACTGTTAATTTTAGCCCTTGCTTATTTGACATGGTTATAATATGAAGCTCAAACATTGATGACTTGCTGATGTCCTTTTGTTCTTTTCCAGATTATCAAAAGTGACAGTTCTCCAAACAGAGCCCAGTATTCCTAAATCTCCATTAGACCTGTCAGAGTGAGATTTCCGATCACTGGTTAGGCACAGAAAAAAACAGACAACCCTTCCAACCTAAAACAAGGGATCAAATTCTCAGAAAGGGAAATTAAGGTTAGAAAAAAAAATAATAAAGATAGGTAAGAAGGAGACAGAAAAATTATGTTAAGAATTATGTTTTCAAGGAGACAGCAACATCAGGACACAATCTGTTATCCAAGGCTATTCATAGCTGCATTTCCTAGGTTTATTTGTACTTCTTTTGTTCAGGCCCATCATACCCAAAACCCCTTCAAGATACTTAGCTTAGTTGATAAAGGGCAGAAACCCGATTTTAAGACAAAGGGACAGATTGAGAGATTTTAAACAATATTTTTATCAAAATATCTTAGAGCATACTTCTTAAAAAAACAGTGATAGGGACCCCTGTCTTTCTCCCATTAAGTGGGCCATTATCTTTCTGGGGATGAGTCATCCTACCCTCCATGAACTAAGTCCTATATAGAATCACAAATTCCATAAATTTGCACGCCCCAGAACACATATCTTCATTTCAGATTATTGTGCTTCTCTCTCTCCAGGGCCCAATGTTGTATTTCCTCTGAGTGTGTACTTTAATCTCTGCCTAATACATCCCTTTGTGCCTCTTAATGACACATCCTGAAAATTCTTTCTGTGATAGATATCAGTGAACCTGCAGCCTATGCCATGGGTGAAAGTCAAGATTCTCCAGCTCTGCTTTGGGAAATTCGCTGATCTTGTCTGGGGACAGAGCAAGACCTCAGTTGCTCATGAGTAGAAACATGGGTTGCTTGCTCATAAGAGGGAATGTCACAGCACTCAAAAGACCCCAGCTGCCACTTCCAGTTTAGGAAAGCTCCAGACACAAGACGGTAACTGAGGCTGAAAGGGTCCAATACCTCACAAGCAGGACTGACCCCTAAATTGCCAATGGAGCACCTAGCCTAAAGACTGAAGCCAAATCACCTAAATTTTCAGAATCAAAGGTATAAAGAAAAGACAGAAAGAAACCTCACCCTCCATGGATAAAAGTTGTGTTTATGTGTGTATGTGAGTGTGGGGGGTGTTGGGGGTTTATTCCAGGACCTTTGCACTTTCATACATGGCTAAATTTCCACATGCACTCACCCCGTTCTTTGAGACAGAGTCTCTAATTCACTAAATTGTCCAGCCTGCACAATTCTATGAAGGTTCAAACCTCCAACCTCCTGCCTCAGCTTCCCAATAGGCTGGGATGACAGGCACCCTGGCTTGGAAAAAAGATCTTGACCTGCCCACACAGGGAGTTCAAACAAATCTATTTCACATCTTCTCACTGTAAGATTCACCATGGAGTACAAAGGTTGTTTGACAGAGATTATAGGTACAGGGAAGTGTCATTGTTTCTTTTGAAGTGGGATAGAAGAAATAAATGTAGGTGATAGGAAGGAGACAAGGAAAATCATAATTATAAAATCGGTTTTAAGAAAAATTCCAACTTCAGGATACAAAGCTATTATTCAAGGTTATAATTTTTCCCCCTTTCAGGTTACTCTAAGATTCCTAAATCTTAAAAAGTACCTAGCACAACAGATTGGGCCCATGTGCCTTTCTCCCATAAAATGAGCCTTTTCTTTGTAAAACTCTTCCCAGTTTTCCTCCCTTTACTATAGGTTTTAAAATTCCACAAATTTGCACCCCCAAGACCACAGAGCGGGAAAGAAACACCCAAACCAAAAGATAGTGCCTCTCACTCTGTGAGTGTCTGCCCTCTTGCTGAGTGTCTCTTTCCTTCCGCCTAACCTCTTCATGCCTCTGACAGACACATCTTGAAAATTCTTTTTCCTGTGATAGGAATCAGTGAACCTACAACCTACCTCATGGGTGGGATGAGTTGAGGTCTCCATTTCCTCTTTCAGAGGACCTCCTCAAACTCCATCTGGTTATACTTTTGCCACTGCTTCCTCTTGTCAGAGATAATCTTTCTCCCAGAAACTAAAATGGTTTCAAAGTTTAGAAGACGTGTTTGCAGCTAGCTGGCTTTTAAAAAATGATTCGTCTTCTCATAACTTCACCAGAAATGCAAAGGGCTTGAGTGCGATGAGTGTGGTAGTCATAGGAGTCATTCAAATAAAATCTCCTAGTACTGTATAAATAAACTGATCCAGTAAAGAGGAGCACCTCTCAGGTTAAAGCAGGACTCCCACTGCATTCCTCGGAGGGTCCCTTTAATTATGACTGAGAAACTTTTCAAGTCCCTCGTCCCTGAGTCTGTGACCCTGTTGGAGATGCCCCTCAGATACTTGTGACTTCTCATGGGGCGGTCATTCAAATAATGTACCAAACCCATGTAAACCCAGAGCCTGTTGTTTCAGTCATGTACTCCTTCTAAGTGTGGGTCAGATGTTTGACCTATGTAAAAATCATGACTCAGACCTGGCTAATGCTACTGCCACCTTGGGTTTCTGCCAAAGCAGCAAGCAAGCAGTGAAAAAAAAATGAAATTAGGGAAGTGGGACTAATAAAAATTCTTTCATGCACAGTGTCCTACCTACCTCACCTAGTTTCAGGAATCCTATTCTAAATAAATAGCCCTTGATTTAGAAGAATGTCAATTCATATCCACTCCTTGTAAATGCCCAGCAAAGTTATCAAATATTTTTATAGTGACCAAAGAAGTAGGAAATGTCTGACTTTCCATTATAGTACTTTCCCCCAAAAAATATGGCTCCCTGAATTTCACTGATCTTTTATTATAGAATCCAACAATTCACTGAGTTTAGTGAATATTTGTCAATAGTCCCCCTCCCCATATCTGCTGCCTTTCTTTCTAAAGATTTCACTTAAGGATCCTCCCTTTCACTACCTTTAATTTATGTCATCTAAGGAGGGGTGAGGCACTAGGCCTGGAGTGGGGCATAACCCTAGGCCTGAATTAATCAGCACATCATGTTTTGGCCACACCAACACACACTGGTTCACAAAATAAACTTGTTCTGTCAGCCTGGGGCTTAGGATCTTGCAAGAGTTTCCCACTATACTCGAAACAGAAATGGTTAGAATTGAGGTAGCTGTCCTTATATGGGGCAAATCTGGAACTGCCAGGGACCCCACAGGCATGTTAGGAATAAAGTTAACACAGTGGAAAGTGGAGCCAAGAGACAGAGACAAAGTGAGACCTTATGACATCATCGGAGCTCTGAATCCTGCCCTGGCCATTTAATTGTATGAATCCATCAATTCTTATTTGGCTTCAGTGAACCAAGTTTGGCTTTGGAGCTCTCATTTGGGTGAGAGACACAATAAAGGGCAGCTATGGAGCCAGCCCTCACCCTCCGCTCCCACCTCACTGCATTTTATGGCCATAATAGGTGACAATCCCCCCTTTTGTTTTTTCTCAAACAGTCATAATGCCACATCCTTGAAGGTGAGGAGGGCATGTGGGAATGTATGGAGAGTTTTCTTATCAGTATGACTGGTATTTTAGATTTTATGTTCTCCCTAGATAATCTTAAAGAATTCACTGGTAGTATTTCCCTCCAGGAACCCAGCCACTCTGCATGCTGTTGTATCTCATATATGTTGCTTCTTGAGTTTATGGTATATGTCCTCAAACTTCTGCCAAAGTATCCAAAACAGTAGAAACCACAGTAGAATCTCTTTGTCTGGAGATCAAGTCCCATCCCCAACTTCTAGTCTGTTGGCTTGGTTGGAAGAAGATAACTTCACCACTTTAAAAAGCAGAATTAGAAATGGAAGCTGCCTGACCCAGAGGGTCAGTATTATGGGACTGTTGGGTATCCAGCATACTGTGTTAATCATAAAGGGGAAAAGCCCTCTGTTTTGGCCAGGAATCAGGAGAGTTATTTTGGGAGTAGCCTCTTTAGTGACCCAGGTGTTACCATTTGATTTTCAAAGCATTGAAGAACAAAAGCCGTAAGAGTGCTTTTCTACTACCCTATATTTCTTTCTATGGCTTTTTTTTTAAATGAATGTGCTACAAATCCAGCACTCACTTTCTGGGGGGAACCGAAAGAGAAGGATCATTATCATTAGACAGAGTGAGCCTTTCAGGAATGTACCTTGCCCGCCCATTCAAGGAACTTTGTCTTCAAAGCATTCAGTTTACCTTTCCATAGCAAATATTACCACTGTAAAGCCACAGAAATGACATTCATTTCTCAATCTTGTGATGTTTGCTGTGTGAATTTCTCAAATGTGAGTTGCTTTATGCTACCTACTAAAAAAATAAGGAAAATGGGTCTTGGCCCTAATGAAATGGTTGACTTATTCCCCCTCTCATGTCACCCATGAGAAAACCTAGAGTCTCCTTTTACTCAACAGGTATTATGTTTCATGTCCAGACATCACCCAAAAGCTTCATACACTTGCTAGTGGAGCTTTTGGGAGATGATTGGGTTATAGGGGCTTATAACTGACTTGCTGTTAGGAGGTGGGGTCTGGTCAGAGGAGGAGGGTCATTGGGGGTGAGGCAGGAATGCTTTATCTTCCTTCCCAACACCTCCCTTCACTCTCTCCTTCCAGTCTGCCATATTGTAAACAGGTATCCTCTACCCGTTATGGCTTGTGTCTAGATGTCCCCACAAAGCTTTATGCATTCATAGGTGGACATTTCCAGAAGTGGTTGGATTTAGAGTTTGTGATACTGCATTAGTCCACTAATTGGTTTAGCATAGTTTTGGGTAAGGATAGTGGAAAGGCCCACCCCAGGTGTGGGTGGCACCAACCAATAGGCTTGTAGCCTGGGTGGAATATAAAGAGAAAGATGGAAGGCAGGCTCATTACCTTCAAGGGAAAGATACTCTAGTTACAGTGACCAATATCAACTAGTTATTTCTGCATGACTTCATTTTATGTTTAAAACAACTCCATCAAGAAAGTACTGCTATGCTGGAGATGTAGCTCAGTGGTTGAGTTCTTCCATAGTATGTGTGAGGCTCTGGGGTCAATCTTTAGCACTGCAGAGGAAAAAAAAGTTATATTATTCTCTTCCTTGGACAGATGGAGACACCTAGGTTCAGAGAACTTAAGTAATTTATCTAAACTAAACTAGTTCTCAGTTCATTTGAGACTTGGATTCAGGCTATTCTAACTCCAAAGTCTGTACCCTTAATCATACTTCCCTATTTCCCAATCAGTGCAATGAGGGAAGGTCTAGATTTTGCACAGGATGAAGTTTATACAGATTACAAGGGGTGGTCAGGATATGCTTTCTCTGAGAAAAAAGAAAAAAAATATGAAAATAAAATTTAACACAGTTCCTGAGAAGAAGTCCATGCAAGGAAGAGAGCATGTAGTTTAAGTTTCATTAGACTCACGGTAAATCCGCTTTCTGATTGTGATTATTGCCAACAGTGTTACCATGATAAAGCATAATTATTCATGGAGCCCAAATATATGAAAATCTCATTGGTTTAGGATTTTAGGGTTTCCTTTAGATAATAAAGCTGTTGTAGACACTCGGCTACCCAACAGTCTCCTTTCCAGCCACCATAAAATTTTTCTGCATCTGAGTCATACCAGCACAAATTTTCTTCCATTTCCTACCTGTCTCAAATTCCTTTCAATTTTCCTTGCATCTCTATCAGCCCTGCCTCTCTTTCAGCTTCTTAATACTTGTTTTATAGCTAATACTGTGTGTGCCAGGCCTTGATCTAAGCTGTTTTCTCATTACCTATGAAGAAACCTAGTATTGCTCCCATTTGTCAAATGGGGAAATTGAGACCTTGAGAGATTATGTACGTTGTCTCTGAATTCTGCACTCTTAACTACTATGCATCTATGAGTTGGTGCTTGTCTTAGTTACTTTTCTCTTTGCTGGGACAAAATGCCTGATACCCACCAACTTAAAGGAGAGGTTTGTTTTGGCTCATGTTTCAGAAGTTTCAGTCCTTGCATGATTAGTGACCTGGTAGAAGGGCATGGTGGAGGAAAATTGCTCACATCATGGCTGTCAGGAAAAATAGCACTAACAGAGCCAGGGATTTAGCTCAGTGGTTCCACTACCTGTCTTGCAAGTACAAGGTACCAAGTTCATGGCCTCCCTCTTCCAACCAGGCCTCTACTTTTTTCAACACATTTAGCTATAGTACCCACCTCCATGGTCCAATCTTCTTCCAAAATTTCTGCTTGCAAACAAACGAGGCTCTTGAGGGACATCTAGATGTAAACCATAACTCCACCTCTGGCCTCCAAAAGCTTATGCACATCTCCATGTGAAATGAGCTTTAGTCCACCTCTAAGAGATGCCAAAGTTTTAACAGTTTCAATTTTCATTACTGAAAAGTCCAGACCAAAACCCCCTCTAAGACTTGAGACAATTTTTTAGCCATGGGCCCCCATAAACATGAAAAAAGAAAATTAAACATGCTGATATGCTGACATACAAATAAATATTCTCATTCCAAAAGGGTGAAATTGAGCAATAGAAAGGAATTGAAGCAAAGCAAGACCAAAACCCAAAAAGGTAAATATTAAATCCTGTATCTCTGGGTCCAGCACCTGAGGCAAATTGTGATATGATATGAACCACAAAAGTCTTGGGTAGCCATGCCCCTAAGGTACCACTACCTACCATGGCTCTGTCTTAGGTAGACTCTCTTCCCTATCTGTGATCTTCATCAGCAGACACTGTGCTACCTCAGCTCATGAACTCAATTCTCTCCATGATTCTGGTTGTAAATCAAATTTCCCCGTAAGGTTAACATTGAACCTAATCATTTAATTTGATTCAATTCTCATCTGACTCAGTTTGCAATGAGAATCATGGAAAAGAATTAAGTTTTAAACCAAGGTACCACTATATTCCACATTCCTAGCTTTTCCAACTTCCTGGGGTCTGCATAGGACTTTCGGATAGGGCTTTCAGTTTCATTTCTAACAGCTTCACACCCTACCTTTTCAAGGGCACACTGCCTGGCTTTCTAAACCTTCATCTGAAATTTAGGTGGAAGCCTTCCTGACCCACAACTCTTGCATTCTGCATGCCAGAAAAAACCAGCACCATGTGATGCCGAAGTCTGCCAGGAGCTGGAACAGTAGGCAGGTCCAACTGAATCATGGCTGCTAAATATTTGGTGGAGAATGATACTATCAGCCATAAATAAATATTTGCCCGTCTGCATAATTTAAGTTAAATAAAAAATCAGAACAGCACTGCAAGAAAGTGGCTTGAAGACATAAAAAAAAAAAGAAGACTACCTCAGGTTTGCTTATCCTCAAATGTATTGTTCTTTAGATCAATGTGTTGGTCAGAAAATTATGAAGAGGATTGGACCCAGATAGAACTCAGGTTCTCTTAAGTTGGGAGCATAGGAACAGGGGTTGTCACAATTTCTTTCTCATTATTTAGCCCCAAACCAATATTGTTTTTCCTTAAATCTAGCTTAAATTTCTGCCTTATCTTCTATCTGTTTTATGCCTATGTTTTTACCATTCACATACATGGAAAAAATTTAGCATATGCTGCAGTTAGACATTGGTTTTTCACAGAATGCACCCAGTTGGTAACTATAGATCAAAGTATAGAAATCTTCATCATTGAATTGATACATTTAGAAAGTGTGCACATGATCCATAATTCTATTGCCTGGCTTCTCTAGATATACATTAAACTATTTCCAGATAAAAATTTCATGCACAACCTTTGCCCACATAGCTAATGTCCATTTAAATTTAGAAATTAGGTTTAACACAAGGAGTTACTGTGCCTGGTGATGGCAACATATCTCTTTTTGGTTGTTAAACTATCCACTCACCTGCCTTCAATTAATTAATGTCCTGTGGATATGGATGTGATGGCTTCTGCCATGTTGGAAATGGGGGTTGTCTTCCTGATTCAGATGATAGTGGAACTATTTAGACGCTCCTTCCTCACCCTTGTCTTTTTAGCTTCACTTTTCTAACTGGTCTTAACCAAATCTTTGGTGCTTTTTGAAACCAATCTTTTTGTAGGTGATGAGTAAAACGATTGGGTATGTTCTATACCACACTTTAATTCTAAGCAGATAAGAATCAGAATATGTTGACATTTGCTACTGTTGCACAGTTCACACAGTATTTTGAATTAGACAAAGATCCAAGTCACTGGGGTGGATGTGCAGAGAATTCCAGAAGACCTCAAATGCTCTTCACCTTGAGGGATTTGAACTCGCCACCAGCATAGCATAGAAGACTGGACTTTCTTACATCCTCACATCACTACAGCAGAGCTCCCTGAGTTCTAGTAAAGGGAGGGCATTTCTTTCCTAATATACAGACATCAAAGGGTAGGTGTACACACTAAAACACACAAGGTCAGAGTACCTCTGCATAGAATGATCAAACAGATCTTAGCCTAACCCAAAGGCCAGCTATTAGGACTGAGCTCTGTCTTTAACCATTACCTCATCTCACCTGCAGTGATTATGTGTTACTTTTCTTTTCACCTCAGTTTTTCCACTGGTAAAAGGAAGAATGAATATTTGTAATCATCAAATAACGACTGCATTTTGCATGGCAATCTTCCAGTGGTGGATGCAGCCACAGTTAAAATACATACCTGGCTTGTACAGTTTATAGGCATTATCTCATGTATTTCCCATTAGAACGGTAGGAAGAAAGTGATACTATATGCTCTTTTTTTAATAGCTAAGGAAATTGATATTTAAAGAAATTAACAAATTTACCTAAAGTCATCAAAGTGAGTAACATAGCCGGAGTTCAAAGTGCAAAGAGTGCACTTTCCATCACCAGTTAGATTAGATTTTTACCTAGTAGGATCCAGATGGCATCATCTTATACATTAATCTTCAGTGTCCAAAGTCCTCTGAAATCATATGCCTAAAAGAATCTCTCATAGGAATTAGCATCAGTGACAGTCAACAATATTTATAAACTATCCTTCCAGGAAGAAGAGCAAAGTGTTTTGCATTCCAATTCCCTTTCACCTTCTCAAATACTGTGTCTATTGTTGCATTTGTTCTATTAGAAAGACTATCATTTCTTCAAAACCAAGGAAACTGATGCCCATATTCATCAGAGGATTTTCCTAACCAGTTACGAAGATTCTGACTCTTCATCCAGTGGATGACATCGGTGATGAAGTACGTGTGCTTATGCTTGTGTCATTGAATTATTTTGCTGGATTCTTTAAGGTGAAACAATAACCCAATGATACTATTCTGCAGGAGCTTATCGCCAGCTCCTTCTCCACACTCTTAAAGTAATCCATGCTCATGGCTCACTTTAGAATCGTTCACTCCAGACCATGGAAATGGATGGTCTGAAAGATACTATAGGCTGAATCACAGAGGTAAAGGCACAGGAAGGCAGGAAGTGTCATTCTTTTAATTTTTAGCTTAGGATTCCATCTGAGAGTCTCTCCCTGGCCTAATACTAGAGTCAGTTTTTGCCTCCCCTATCTGTCACATACCTGACACTCCCTCCTTCTCTTTGTCTTTCTAGCCTCAACAACAAGCAAGATTTCCAGAGTTCACTGGCCCTGGCTGAGCCTCATGTGTTCTCAATCTGTCACCCTGGGCGTACAATCTGTTAGTCCTACAGCATAGAAATTGTGAGCTATCATTGGTGTGCACATGCTTGTAATCCCAGAAACTGAGGCAAGGGGATCAAGTTTAAGCCTGGCCTGGACAGTTTAGCAGCTTGTTGACACTCTATCACAAAAGAAAAAATAAAAAAAGGCTGAGGATGTAGCTCAGTGCCAAGGCTCTGTGTTCAGGCCCCTGTACTGACTTAAAAAAAAAAAATTGTGAGCTGTACTGACCTGCTTACCCTGGCCAGTTGCCCATTAACTTTCTCTGAGGGCATTTGTGGCCTCTAAGGATGATGGTATAAGCTCTCTAAAGTGGGACTGAAGTCTTGATGCACAGTTTTGCTCTGATAGAAATGCAACAGAGTTCTTCCATTATTCCCTGTCATTCTCTTGATATTATAAGTGTCTCATGGGCTCTGTCTTAAAAATTGTTTTACAGTCATTTAACTTACACTTACAACACATTACTTTTGACATCATAATGTGATTTGCATTGATCTGAGGCTGCCATCAAGATGAGCTCATAACTGTCAAAATCTCTGTTGAGTAAATAAAGAGCATATTTTGAATGTGGGAGATGATGGAACATGGAAAAATCACAGAATGCAACCAGAAACAATACAAGCTCAGTAGGGAAATTTTAGACATCAAATATTTTTTATACAAAGTACCAAAGGTCACTAGTCTCCCACATCAAATACACAGACAATTTTTTTAAACAAATCCATTTCACTCCGAGCCTCAAAACAAGCCTAAAATATGTGATTTTGCAAAGAAGATTCCAAGATAATTTTATTTTTCAAAAATGAAGGAGAGACTGTTTGGGATATTGGAGGAATGGAGGAGGGTGAATGGCGCTCAAACCTCTCCAAAGCAGTTGGCTTTTCAGTAACTGCTCCTGAAGTACAAAATTCCAGAATTACATCCATTTTTAAGCCTCAGGTGTCACCAGTGGGGCAAGGCAGACTTGGAAATGTGGCTTTAGGCCTGTTTATAAAGAGCTAGCCCCCCTTTGTACTTAAAGCTAACTGTAGTGCCCTACACTTTGTCCAAGATATAGTCTCCACATTTGTCTTGGCAAGGATTCAACAAGGGGATGGGATTTGGTGGAAGCAGCAAGAAAATGATCCTTTGCCTGTGTCATTCAGTCTGAAGAAAGCGGGTGGAGATGAAGACTTCCAAGCCGACCTTAACTGGAATAACTTGCTCTCTTTCGCATCTGCAGCTGTGTCCTCCTCAGGGAGTTGTCCAACGAAATGTGATTTTAAACATCTGTCAGCTAAATCAGAGCTCCAAATTTAGCAGTTGGGAACATCATGCGGATTTGTGATACTCGCTGGAGAACGCTGGCTGCAGAAACCAAGTTCACAGGAGACAGCCGGGTGGTACTCTGGTTGGTAATTTCGTCTATGATACATTTAATTTGGCTGTACATTTTTGAAAGTTATGTAAAGGGAAAGAATGACCATTGTCTTGCAAAGGACTTCTAAACTGCTGTAAGATCAATAGGGAGGAGGGAAACCTCTACACTGGCGAGCTAACTATGTGCCTATCCAATCATTTGCCTGGTTTTATCTGAATTTCCTGAAATTCTAGTCTCCACCTTGGCTTTCTGTTCTAACTAAAACAACAATCCACTCTACCCATCCTAGAGGAGGAGAAGTTCTGCATAGCCATTTTTGTTGGCCACCTTTGGAGATATTGAATAGTATGCAATCACATGACTCCTTTGGACCTTTGGACTGATGTTTCAAGAGATGTGCTGCTGTTCAGAAAAACAGGCCAAGTCTTTGCTAGCCAAATACATGCCTGGTTGGCTATGAATTCTGAATATAAAAGGTAGGATGTAACCAGTTCTATCCACACCTGAGATCATGGTACCCTTAAAAGGAGAGATGGGGGAGAAATAGACGTGTAAAACTTATCATTAGATTGGTTTATCACAGTTCATAAAGAACTGTGAATTTGCCCTTCTTAGATTAGTACAAAATCAGCCTTTTACATCCATTTCTCCATTAAGCCTTCCTTGATTCCTCAGGCAGAATTAGTTACACCATCTTTTGAGCTGCCAAGATAGTCTGTGTGTGCTTCTGCTGTAGTACTCATGTGTGGTGGTGTCAGGGAGTGTTTTCAAATGCCACTGTGATCTCTAAGGAGGAAACCATAGTGTACAATTTGTGCTGTACATGCAGGGTTAGGATATGCTCAGATGGTGGTCAACTGATACTGTATTGATATGAATCAGTGCATGAGTAACAGCCATTAGCTTGAGCTGCTTAAGATTATATCATCTCCAGGTAAGGAAAGGTGATTCAGGCACATGGTTGATGACAAAAGGGAACCTTATAAATGTACCGTGGGTAATTCACACATGAATTGTGCAAACACACCTTTCGACAGAGAACTGACTCAACATATGTGTCTCTTGCTGTAGGAGAAAGGGCAGACCTGTCATAGATACCAAAGGTCAGGGGAAGATGGCCATGAACGGGGACATGGAGGATCGTAGCAGCTATATGGAGTTGTTTGAGCGGGCTGGGGAGGACGGGGCTTTTTCTCTCAGTGTCTTCTTACTGTCATTCGCGGTGTTTGACACTTACTCTTGGAAGGCATGATGATTCTTCCTTCTATTCACCCCAGTAACAGCCTTACCTTGGAGGCCATGGTAGGGTATAGTTAAAATCATGGACTGTAGCATCAGGTCAAGACTCAATTTTCAGACCACTAAGGTGAATTATCATGAGAAAATTAGTCAGCTCTGAGTTATCTTGTTAGGGGTGAAGGGAATAAATGCAAGTGTGACTAAAGTATATGACAGAAAGCAAATGTTCAATATAGTCAAAATTATCATTATCACCATAATTAGTGTGTACTCTTGTTTGCAAGTGATAAAAATGAAACAAAGGTGTCCTTAGTGAAAGTGTCTCACGCAAACCAAGCTCAGGAGTGTATCTGAGCCTTGGGGACATTCTGTCCCTTCTGCCCCTCCCTGCCCATCTGCTTTCTGTTCTCCCTCAGCTGCTTTTATTCTCAGGTTCACAAAGTCATTCCCAAAAAGTTACCTCCCTGCTCCCCCTACCTGCCATGTTGCAGGTCTGACTAACCAAAAAGGGACTATCATGCGTTCTTTTCCTGTCTTCAATGTCACGTTTCTAGAGGAAAGATTCAGACTCACCTTAAATTAGTGCAACTTCTGTCCTGGTGGTGGTTAGGCATGCATAGACACAGGAGTCCTGTGACACTGCAGCCCCCAGGAGACACCAGATGTAGAGGGCAGTTGGATGTATTGAGGAGACATTATCACAAGATGGGCAGATACTGCAAAAGTTACCTTCAAACTACTATGATCATAAAAATGAGATATTTAAAAATGTGCACCAATGTCAAAAACTCCTTAGTGAAAAAAATACATATATATCATGATCATCAGCAATACTCACCTATAAAGACAAAGATTTATAGGGAACACAAAGAATTTGTTTCATGCTATAGGGATTTTAATGCCCTTGGGTTTAATAACAAAATTTTTTTGAATGTGGAAAGCTCCTACAAGGATTAATAACCCTTGAGCCTTTGCCACCTAACACCTTAGCAAGGATTAATTGACTACTGGCTGAAAGCCAGGACCTGGGAAACAGATCTAGACCAGGAGTGGGAGGGGGGTGGAAGGTGGGAAGTGCTAAGGGCACCGGAGGCCAAGCTCCTTGCTCTTCTCAACGTGTGGACTACGCTGAGGCCCTTGCTTCCTGGAAACGCAGAAATCTGGCTCCGAATTCTAAAGCCTCCATCGTATTTTTATAGAACATCAGTAAATTCCAGGCCGGAGACAGGGCAGCTACTAGAAAACTCCTTTGGTAATAAAAAGGCACTGGGAACATTGTGAAAAGACACCATGTGTTTTCAGGGCAAGACTGGTGCCAATTTCTAAAGGCCCTACAGACATCTTATAGAAACGTTTCTATAGAAACGAATCATCTCACGCCCACTCCAGCAGTCTCTGAGCCCATCTGGCACTGGGTCCCCAGTTCCCACCCCTGGGCCCAGGGAGGATAACCCGGGAAAAGTCTTTCCATTTTGTCTTTGGAATCCGGCTTCTTCCAGTCTGAATGTCAATGTGCTGCTCCTTCTAATGTTTCCCTTGGGGGTTGGGTAGGACAGATGGTCACTGTCATGTTAAAGCCAAAGACTTATGAAGCAACTTTGTGAGCATTGTGAGAGCTTAACTCCTACCCCAGAGACAGGACCCCTGGGATTCCAGCCTGGACAGGGACCGACTCTCTGAAATGCAGTGGGTAAATCACATCTACAGCTCTGCCTTCAGAGTAGACACAGTGTTTCTGAATTACTCAAGTTGGCTGCCCTACGACATTGCCCAAATGTTCCCTTGAACACTTCTTTTATCTTCAGAAAGCTATATATGGCCAAAGCTACAGAAAAAAGTCTCTTCAGCCTAAGAGTTTGAGTGAGTCTTCAAGGCCAAGGCATTAAATGATCCTGAGTTTTGCTGCTGGCACCCATTCCTTTTGGCTGCCGTGACTAATGCCTGCAGCAAAGCCCTTAGTATCACCAGATTGTGCAGGTCAGCAGCACTTATCCATACTTAAGCTTCTGTGTCCTGCTGAGGGTAGCTACAAAATTATCTACGTAATACATTTATAAAGTGGCCATACTTTCATTAAAGTAGTCAATTTTAAAAGTACCACAAACCCTGGCCTTAAACAAGTTGTATTATCTTATAGTTGGAGAGGTAAAAAATTTGAAATCAGTCTCATTAGGCTAACATAAAGGTGTCACTAGAGGATCCAGGTAAGAATCTGCTGAATTGCTTTTTCTGATTTCCAGAGGCTGCCTGCATTCCTTACCTGGTGGCCTCTTCCATCTGCCAAGCCAGCTATGACAAACTAGGTTTCCAGTTGTATCATTCAAAAACTGATTTTTCTGTCTCTTCTTTCAACATTGAAAGGAACCCAATGATTATCCTGGCCCACATAGGTAGTTAGACAATTTTAAGATCAGCTGACTAGCAATCTTAATTCCACATGCAACTCTAATGCCTCCTTACCAAGTAGTGTAGCATGTTCTGAAATTCTGCAGATTAGTATATGGACATCTTTAGGGAAGGTGAAACCTACCACAGACACTTATTATGCATCAATTTTAGCATGCTTCACAAAATCTTCACCACGACCCTATAAAGCAGATGTCTTTATTGTCCCAATTTTACACATAAGGACTCAGAGACCACACAGTAAATGACAGACCAGGAACTCACTACCAGGCCTTTCTAGCTCTGCTAGCCAATTCTACAAACTCACCATGTTCTTCTCCACCCTAAGGCCTTTATATATGCTGTTCCCTGTGTTCAGCATGCACTTCCCCCTTCATCTCACTACTTTTTTGCCATTGTCAAATTCTTTTCTGTCACTTCCTTGGGGAAGCCTTCTCTGATACCTCAGAGGAGGCTACATATCTCTGTTGCATGAATGATAATTAAGCTCGATCATTTGGGTGCATTTCTGTCTTTTGCAGAATAAAACCTCCTGTGCTTATAAAATCCCCCACAAAATAAAACCCAGCCATACCCTGGACAACCTCAGCTCTTGCTTTCTGCTTTCTCCCCAGTTCTGGCCATACTTAATTTCTTTCATCATCTTGAACTCACTACATACCCCCCCACCTTGGACCTTTGCACACATCTTTCCTTGAACATGGTTTTCCCACTGCTTTGCTTTGTTAATCCCTCATTCTGCAGGCTCTGGCTTATGTAGGCACTGAAGAGTAAGGCAGGCCCAGCATGATACCTTCTCATGCATCACCTATCTCCTTCATACTGCTTATCATACTGCCGTGATTATAATTACATATTTTTGTATGTTTAATATCACCTTTGTCACTGTACCAAAATTTCAGGGCTTTATACTACGTCTTGTTGCATTTGAGAGGATACTTGTTAAATTATAGTGTTTGGCCTTGCTCTCGATGAGGCTTTGGGGACATGAAAAACTAGCAAATAGATTCTATTTAGAGATACTGGAAAATTGGGTGGTGTTATTACCTTTAATGTTCATCACTCCTCTCTCCTCTTCTCTCTTTCAGTCTCTACAATCCACTCTTAGTGAGTGAGGTCGGTGAAAATCAGAGATAACAAACCACATAATGCATAGTATAAAAAGGACAAGTAAGTCTACACTTCAGTAACCAGCTCTTGTTTCTTATTGCAGAAGGCTGGCACTGATGAATCTAGACTGAAAAACAAACAAAAAAAATTGGGAAGAGTAGTGTAGACTAGTGAGTTATAATCTTCAATGCATATCGGAGTCACTTGGCAAGCTTTATCTGTGCTTCATCTGCAGAGATTCCCAGTCGGTAGCTTTGAAGTGAGATCAGGGAATTTGAATTTCTAGCAAGCTCTTGCTAGGTGGTTGGATGCTAATATTACTGCTGTTTGGATCATACTTTGAGTAGCAGTGATGAGTAGTTCTTAATTATGGTTGTTATTGTCTGGAGTTCAGAGTTGTTGAAATAGGATTGATCCTAGAACTCTATACTTTTACCAGTTCCCACTAAAGTTTAAAACTCCCCTAGAGGATTTTAAAAACTACTAATGCCAATGTATCATCCCTAGAGATCTGGATTTGATTCATCTGTTGTGCAGCCTGGGCAGAAGGTGTAAAGCCCCTCAATGATTCGAATGCACAGGAAAGCTTTAGGACCATTCACTGCCTTAGAGCAGTGATTTTCAAATTTTAATGGTGTCAGCATCACCTGGAGGGCTTTTGAAGCCACAGATGGCTGTGCTGTAGTATCAGTGCCCGGTTTAGTTGATCCAGGTTGGAGCCCTAGAATCTGCATTCCTAACAAGTACCCAGGAATTGTTGATACATACCATTGATCCTATAAAAGCTACCCATTTAGGTGAGGAGAAGAAGGTACTTTGTCCCAGTGTTTCTGAGATTTGAATGTTCATATAAATCATTGAAGAACTAGTTACAATACATGTTCTGTGTGAGGCAGGGAGGGAGGCGGAAGATGTTGCAAGAATCCTATATATCTAGCAAACTCTTAGCCAGTGCCATTGTTGCTGGTCTTCAGTCTATTCTCATACATTGAAAAGCATGACCTGAACTATTTGGGGCTTGTCCTGGGAGAGGGTGAGCTCCAAGCCAAGGCAACATTTCTACTGTTGCTTACTTGGGTCATGCAATAGGATTTGTATACATAACTCAAGATATTTATTCATTATTTATTGACTGTTTCTCTGCATAGCATTGTTCTTGCTGCATATGTTTAACACAGTGACTTAGAAGATAAAGAGACTGATAGATAATACAATTTAGGGGTTCCTATGTCCCTAACCAAAAACTATCTTCAACTCACCATGATTTGCAACAAATCAATATAGATGACAGTTATTTAGGTCAACTGCTTACTATGTTTTCTAATTACCGTACAATGAAAAATAGTCAAAACAGGTCAGATTAGCTTGTGTGAGCTTCATTTGATTACAACAGTAACCTTCTGTATGCTAACCTTCATGACTAGTTACATACGTAAAATGCTTGTATGCTCACAACTTGAAGACATCAGAGGAAACACTAGGTGTTAGAGAAGTGGTAAATTAGCCAATGTGCTGATTTCTTGCAGTCGGGAGTGGTTAAAGCTATAATTGCTGTTTCAGAAGAGCTATATCCTTGTCTACTCTCCTGCTTCCAATATCCTAGCCATGAGAGAGAGTGGGAAGAAAGGGGAAGGAACAGGAAGAGAGGAAGAAAAAAATGACTTATATAAACATGATAAATCTGTTTTATTATCCACATTACACACTGGATGTGTTAAAAACAAAACAAAATCCCTGAATTCAGAGCAATTGCTGCAAATCATGCATCCCTGATTATACGGCAGTATTCCTGGTGGGAAAGTAGGAGTAGTGAAGAATGGATTTGAGCATATCCTACATGCTCATTTATGGAGCCGCACATCATCAAACAGCACAGGTTCTAAGCTGGCGTACTGGAGGGCTTTGAAGAGAAATAATGAGCTGAGAGGTTCATGACATGCTATTAAAAAGTTTGTGATTGGATTTGGAGAATCAGATGGGTCTCCAGGGGAAGGAGATCATTTTGGCACCATTGCACTTGAATATTTTTGAGCCCCAGAGCAGATATTTATAAGTAGAGTTGTTTTTGTGTTAAATCCAGGTTCTGGCTGATGTGTCTCAAGGAAGCCACTTTGCAAGGCAGACCTAAGGTCCTGGAATATCCATGACATCACCTTTCTCTGCTGATCTGCCTGCCGCTGTGTGGAGGGAGGCACACTATTAGCTCTGTGATGTTTTAGCTTAATTCTCACACATGTGGGCTGCAACTCCAGCCAAAACAAACTCAGCAGGAGATTTCATAGCCACTGAATTGCTCAAGGTGCTCCAGGCTCCATGACATGGGGAGATCAGGTTGGGATGCAAGCATTACGAACAAAAAGATAAACAGAAAGAAAAGGCACAGAGTGGTAGGATTTGGGGCTTGCTTGCTGTGCAAAGCTTTCAGTTTTCCAATTGGTAATTTGATTCTCTGGTTTGCCTTGGAGATTTGCATTGTTTTTCTGGCATATGTGATGGAATAAAGCACCCTGTTCCATTCCGGGTAGTGAACCATGGAGACCTTCTCATTAAATTACAAAGGAAAATTTTAGGATATGAGATCATGAAAAAAGAATAGAATTTGAAAAAGGAAAAAAAAAGTACACACATTAACACATAAGTAGGCCAGCACAGGAAGGATTTGTGGTGAAGCCATTTTTCCCATTGCAGATAACTCTTTAATCCTTTGGATGCCAGAGTCCTTCTGCACACACACACACACACACACACACACACACACACACATACACATGCATGCACTCTATGGAAAGAAGGTTCTACAGCTGCCATAAAATCAGGCTGCATGATAGTTTGAATCAGAAAGGTCTAGTGACATTCATTTAGTGCTATAATCCTGACCTCTCAGTATATGATATTGAAGCTCTTCATTTGAGATCATTCTGTCTAGCTCTTTTCTCCCTATCACCCCCATAGCATAACTGTCACCCCTAGGCATTCAGAACTGAAAGAACAGCAAGGCTGAGTAATCACACCATGAGACTATTTATGATTATTAGGGGGGAAAAGAGGTGGGGAT